ATGGGATAATACGAAGTCAGTCAGCAAAAACGTAGAACTTCGTATGTACGTACATCAGTTTAAGTTGTCATACCACATTAGCACACAGATAGAATTGTCGATTCAAATCCCATAGTGGTAGCGGTAGTAAAAAGTATAAGTGATAATCGGAAGGATTAGGGTTTGAAGATGTTATTCAAGGAGTATAATACAGTGAAATAAATTTGGAAAGAGAAAAATTAAGGGACATGAAGAATTCAGATTAGAATTTGGGAGAACACAAAGAGTGGATGCACCCGTGTCGTTGCAAACGACTTTAAGCCATGTCATTCAAGGTCTCTAACCATCGGTCGCCATCATCTCGCGGATCGCAACCACGCAGTCTACACCTACCAACATGACTCAGTCCACTTGTCAGCGACTTCATGTATTTGTGCCATGTTGTGGTCTGGCCACCCCTAGCTTTCTTCCAACCTACTCCTACACCATAAAACATCACTCGTCGAGGCAGTCAGTGGTCGGACATGCGTAACACATGTCCCAGCCATCTCAACTGATGAAGTTTCACTACGTCATCAATTGATTTGCCATCCTTACCTAGTACCCGTTTCTTAACAACTACATTACTTAATCGATGGTCCCAGGATATACGAGCAATGCTTCGAAAATACTAGTAACCTACGAATATCCTGTAATCTTACCGGCCATATTTCACTGCCATAAAGTAGGACGAGACGAACTGCTGAGAAGTAAACCCGTCCTTTGGTTGGTAGACGGATACCTCACATGCACCATAAATGACACAAGTTGGCAAAAGCTAGTCGAGCCTTCTGCATCTGTGCTGAGATTTCGTCACACACCAAAACACAAAGACTGGTGAGACTCCCAAGATAAGTGAAGCGGTCAACACACTCAACTACTTCACTCACTATCATTAGTTCAGGTGCCGATGAAACCCAATCCTGAAGCAACATTTTGCATTTCAAGGGAGAGAATCGCATCCTGAACATGCTTGCATTGCTGCTTAGAGTGGTCAGAAGACTCTGCATTTTGTCAGCGTCTTCACCAAACAGAACTATATCATCGGCATATTCCAAGTCAACAAGTGAGTCTCTCGGTAAAAGTTCAACTCCCGTAAATGTAGATGAGAGAAGTGTTATCTTTAAAAGTACGCCAACGACAAAGCTAAACAAGAATGGAGAAAGTGGACAGCCCTAACGAACACCACTTGAGGTAATCAATTCTGATGATAGTTCGCCATAAGCTCTCACTCGACCAGTTGTGTTTGAGTAGAGAGCCTTTATAAGGTTAATGTACTTCTTTGGTACTCCTTTCAGTGAAAAACACTAAATTGAAACCTATTTAGCTATTTTATTTTTGAGAAATCCATAAAATTGACAATTACAAGTAAGTGCTTACAACAAATTGACTAATTGATTTTTCTTTATATTCTGTTGTCGATTTCCGAAAGTTTATCAATAAAGAACTGTGCTTCTATTAATTATTTTGGTTTACGGAGTAGTCATGTCTAAAATTATTAATCAAATTATAAAAATCCGAACATATCAGAAGTAAAATTATCACGTCTTTACAACTGAATAGGTACTAGTATTTTTTCACTACAACCTGAGTTGAACCACTGACCCACTTTTTAGAAGATAATAATAGTAATAATCACTTTCAACATGGTTAAGTTCAATTAGTTGAGCTAAATAGAATTTTAAAAAATAGTCAACCAAGTGATTCTCCCTTAGGAGCTCAACAGTCACGTATATATAGCATTATAATTGAGGGTTGGTACCTCAGTTATGGAAATGTTTAACGAAACCTAGAAAAAGGGATCAATCCCTAATGGTTGTGCAGTTTCTAGTGGTCTATCAAGTAGTGTTGATTACTGGAGAAAGCTGTCGTTGAGAAACAATAAACAATATAGTTCAACATGTTGTTTGATTTAACCACAAATACTAAAAAAGGTGAAGGAAACCTCTTCAACTTACACAAACATCAAGCCCATATTTTTCTTGAGAATATTTACGAATATCGTGATATATACTTTCTTGTAATATACGTCTTTCCAAAGAAAAATCTATTTAATTAGAAAAACATAAACATATTTTATAACACTCAATTGCCTAAAATATGTAGCCACATTTTTTAATATGTGATGAATCATTCGGACCAAGAGATCCACTTTTCATAAGCATATGTTCTTTAGTGTTCACTAGGATTCGTCCTCATGTCTCTTACAGTAATTTTATTTTGAATAAAAGTTCAGTATTAACTTATCCTTACATGGTCATCACTTATTATCAGGTTAAAAGTGAAAAACTGGCTCAATTTACAGGGTGTAGTTCCCGGAAATATCTCCCTAGTTAAAGATATGTGATAAGTGATGTTTTCTTGACGATAACCAGAATTTAAATATATATATAAATGATTGATTTCTTGAATGCCGACCTCTATGAAAATATAAACAGAATATACTTTATACGATCGAGAAATGCTTTTAAAAACGTCGAACCCTGTCGGATGATCATGAGTAACAGGAATTTGGACTGAAGTTTGAAGCCCGATTTGTCGCCATTCACAGTCAAATCACTTAACTTAGTAATCCCACTAAACAACACAAATTCGATCGATAATGGGTATGCAATATTACGACCAGTAACTTTAAAAGTGGTTATTCTTCTGGATGCACTCCTCGAATGGTTCGGTGTTATTGTTTGGGACTGCAGTGCAAATTGATGAGGGTTAACTTTTTTTATATCCAACTATTAAATAAAAAAGGTAAATACATAAATAATTCTCAGGTGTTTGATTTATGTTACCTAGAGATATATAGCATTCAAGTTATATACCGGTCTTCATTTCATCAAAAACAGAATAAGTCAGATGTAAAATCACAGAATCTATTCGAAAGCTACAGATAAACGTGATGGGAATTCTATTCACTTCCACAAAACTTATTTAAATTGAAAACTGACGAGATTTCGATCTAGTTGTTTGAATATTTGATAAGAAGTTAACTATTTACCGATTCAGTAAAAAATTGTATACATGTATATTCAAATTTTAGGTATAAATAATAGACTGGGTTAAATTACTGCAATTTCTTTTGGAAAGTGGTTTTAATCACACGTCAATAAAACCTAGAAAAATCATTTTTTTCGTATTCTGGAATTCCTTGTAAGTACTCACTCGGGATTCTTATCACATTTGAACAAAAACACAAATCCTTTATCGCTTAATGAGAAATACTTTTATAAACTAATAGTATGAAATAAACCGCTATATTTACAGTAAGTTTAATATCTACGACCTCATTTCTAAATATGATTGGAGAAATATTAAGGTGGATGCCTATTGAACCACATATATTTCACTCTTACATGCATAAGTGCGCCACTGCACCAAACTTGTTTAGTCAGTTTTTATGACAAACATAAATTGTAACTACAGTGTACTATGTGACTGAAATATTTTTTAAAAGATTAAAAGGAATACATTTTCTCACCTGTGTAAGCTGAACAAATGAAAAAATAAATGGTCCTAGGACTGATAACTGGCAATTCGTCAGGTTTTATACGACCTTGACATAATGGTAGTAAATAATTCATTTGTATGTATATATGGTTAATTCGCTTCGGGCCAAATTTATTTTGCTGTTTATCTAGTCAGTAGTGATCAGATTTGATGTTATTCTTATTAGTGAAATAGCAAAAGCAGTGAAAAACCAAAAAGAGAAACAAGCGCGATTGTACACTGTTGTCATAGTGAACTTGATTACTGAGACAACCAATCAAATCTAAATGAAGTTATGCGTTAACCTGATTTGCTAAACGATGTAGATCGATATTTGGCGGAGATTTATTGCAAACGCTTAAAATGCAATACCTTTCGTCTTTACACGATTTAGCTTATAAAAATTGTACTAAAAGAAAATAAACTTGGAATTATCATTAACAGGACAGCTCAAGAGATATTGGCATTTGCTTGATATAAAAATAACGTTCCTTATCTTGTACGGTCAACAGAATACATGGAAAAACAATACGTCAGAAGACACGTATAACCACTAATAATATAATTGAGACGTATCTTACTAACAATTAACAGGTTTATATACAAGGACGTAGGGTACATCATCTAAAAGCTACCGAAAACCATAGGAACGGTTGGGTTCCAAAAGAAATTCGTTGTCTAAACAGTGAACTACAGACCCATAATTTAAATGGCATGAAGCAATCGCTTATTTACAAAAGATTTTCGCAGCGTTTTGTTATTTTAAACGGAAGTGAAAGCGCTGTTATGTTACTGAGTTAAGTGAAACAAATCACGGTAGAATTTTACGTGAAATAGCTTCTGAAGTGTTGAAAAGAGACGAGAAAAGGAAATAACGTATAAGAATCTATACCCTAGACATGTATCTATTGGGATTTATAAATTAACTTACATAATCACGTGAGTTATTAGTCTGACTAATAAAGGTATTGAACCATTCATCTGGCTTTCACTGGTAATTAGACAACGTGGGAAACTAAGTGGTCTATTGACCGAGTGATGAATACATTAACGGAGCTAATGAACGGATTATCAACAACGTAGGCAAAGACACAACAGGAACAAAAACACTCCTGAGGGAATTCAAGTACAAAATATGGCTGATTTACAGATAAGTGATCCCCATGGCAAAAATAATGATACCAACAAGAACCATAATATCTTATGCAGAAAACCTTCCTTAAAAGATTTCTTATTCTAGTTTATTTCAAATGATTTTTTTCTGAAGACGTAAATCCAAAGACTTATTATTCCCTGCTAAGTTTGGCGACAGGCCAGCAATTGTTTCTATTTTACAACTACTACAATGTTGTTAACTTCATCGCAGTTAATTAGATTATTAAACGTACTTTTAATGGAAGAGATGTGGCATCTACTATACCAGACTGGATATGATTTATTCATGGCGCCTTTTTGGGATACGTGGCATATTTCCATAGATAACAAAACAATATTTCTTTAAAAAATGTGAATATAATTAAAGCTAAACTGTGAATATTTACAAAGAGGGAAGCAGATCTGGTAAAAAATTGCAAATAAAAAGGAATTACAAATGAGAATATTTAAAAAAGGAACTCCACTGAACAGAAGTACAATTTCGACGAAAATCATTTAACAAACTGTTAAAAATGCGAAAGGTAATATTATTAGTATACAACGAATTCGATTTCCCTTTAGTCGACTGTTGGATTATACAAAAGTCAGTCACTTGAACAGAATTCCACGACTTTGAATCGAACAATTTCTCGTCTGCCAATAATTTATAAGGAAGTCTTAATGACTGGCTAAGCTTCAATGGGTCAAATAGAACGAATTTGGCACGACTAATCTGTCCACTTGAAGTTACGGCAATAATAGTCCATTCACCAGGAACAATATTAACATGTTTTTGTACACAATTCATTAAAATTGTGTTTTTAAATAGACTCGTAGTGATATATAGTTCTGGCATAGCCAATGACCGAAGAGTATGTTTATTTTGTATAAGTGGTAATTTGAGTTGTTTCAAACAAGGTATACCTAAAGGATTGATTAAAGTGAATACAACTGAAGTTTTGTATATTTTATGATCAGAATTTCCTTTCCATAATACTAAAATAGTTAAGGTTTCTTGTAACGTTAAAAAACGTGGATAATTACGAAATATTTGTTCTTTGACATCGAAATTTGAACTGATCTACAACATTAGAAAAAAAACTTTAAAATTATATAGTTCTACAAATATTAATCACGAGAGTTTAACAAAATAAGGCAGTTACATTTCTAACAGGTTATGGTAATTGGGATGCTGTTAAACTATCCAACTATAATATTACCTTCTGGGAACAAACCTTTAACGGACGTTCTATATGATTCATGATTTTTGACCTAGTAAATACATCTAAATTAGTTTACATACTGAACACTACGATAATTTATAACCCTTTAAAACCAGATAGGAATTAACACGAGTTTTGAAAACACGGCTAATTATATTGATACACTGAGCCAATCAAGAACAGGACAAATAATCAGTGACTGGCCAAGGAATGATATTCATTTCCAAGGGATGAAACGTACACTATTAATCGTTTAATTGTTTAAGGGATATGCGTTCACGCCTGTAAACTGGTGTGAATTCTGTAATTATTATTCCCAGAATATATATATATATATATATATATATATATATATATATATAGGTCAAAGGTCATTAGGTGTCATAATCAAAGCAACATTAAGCGTGGATAGTGTAATAGTTGAGTGCAGTTCAGAGACAGATAAGATAAATTGTGTGATAATTTTAGAGGTAATAAAGGATTCATGGAATTAAAAACTGATAAGATAGGTTACGTAATAATTAAATAGAATTTGAAGAGTTAACATAATTTAGGAGGATAAGGTGGTGGAAATGTGTGAATAAAAAATTGGTTTAAGAATTAGGTAATGGGGGAGGAATATAACACAAAATCAATATTTTAAAATGAATAAATGAATAAAATAACCACATTAACAAGACAGACAAAAGAAAGGTTGGATTACCAGGGTAATAATAGGTTTATTAATGTCTCTTTTTGAATGCATAAGTCCGGTTTAAGTTTTTTTATCGCGATTGCTTCAGAGAAACGGAGAGCAGTTGCACTTCTTTGTTGATAATTTTAAAGACGGTCGGTCGTATGCCCGGTGTCAAGTAGATGCGGGGCTACTGCACTGTTGAGAGTCCCAGTCCCTCGCAGCCTCAGGTTTTTTGGAACATGCTCAGAAATGAGAATATGCACTCTTCTTTCAGTTCTTCTAATGTATGTGCTTTGGCACGTACATGTGAACTGGTAAATGCACTTGGAGCTACTGAGAAAAGAGGGCTTGTCGATTTTAGTTTGTTTGAAAAGTTACTGACTGACACATTAATAGCTAATCGTTATCCACTAAAGTTTATTAATAGGTGCAAAAGTCAGTTAATGTCAAGACCTCTTGTTTATTTAGTTCCAAAGAAAAAAGTTTATATCAATCTACCATATAGAGGTGAATCCAACAGCATAGTTTTAAGACAGAGATTGAAAGCAGCCATCGAGAATATCTATTATGCTGCTCAGTTGGTTGTGATTGAAAATTCTAAGCCCGTGATTCCTAATAGACCCAAACAATGCACTAATGATTGCGTCACATCCCACTGTATTTACCAATTTAAATGTTTGTGTGGACACATATACATAGGGAGGAGTAATCGAACAATGCGATCAAGGGTCAATGAACATGTGCCTGGATGGCTTCAAAATCAATGTGTCAAATGATCCGATCAATGTGGGAGGTAGAAACTAGGTTCATCGATAGCAAAACATATAATTGAAACGGGGCACAAAATTGACATTAATACAGCTTTTAGAACGTTGTATAGAAATTGTCAAGGGCGAATTCTTAAGTTTATTGAAGCCTTGGCTATTCGTAAATGTAAACCCCCCTTATGTGTACAAAAACAATTTGTCGTAACCTTGAATTTACCTTGGCAATCCTTAAGTCATTCTATGGCCTAGGATAACGCGACAATTTTTTACTCTTTCTCTCCCCTTTGTTATTTTACTTGAGCTTTCATTTAATTGACCTTTATTAATTTTCATATAAAAATGTCCTGACAAGTATATGTGCGACCAGATTGTTCGAAATGTATAGCGCAAATACATCACATTTTTCAGATAGACTCCATCTCATTGTTTTATCGGAATTCTCTTTTTTTCTTATGCAATGACATTATGGGTCATTTTAATTAGCAACTTAGCTTGGAGCTGTCAGATAAATTTAACTAGTACCTCAGTTGACATTGAACAAATCATTATTTAAGGCATTTGTATCAAATTGAAATATTTGGGTTTCTTAAATGATAGAGCAGTAAGAATATAAAGTCTATTTGAACTTCAACATAGTATAGAGCCGGCAATGTGCATAAATTTATTTCGTTTGTAATTTTCTGAAATCTAACGGAAGGTATGCTTGATTATTATTTACCAAAAAGACAATTCATTCGTGATGAAACAAATACCAAAACAGATACAATCTATATTTCTTAATAATTATTAGAGGTTTGATTCATTTAAAGATAATTATCGTCAGACTGTTGCCAGTTGGATAACTATTGAATAGTTTATTTGTTCAAGGCTGGAAGTGAGACAGATATCCATTGGTGTTATTAGGCGGTAATTCTTCTGTAATGAGAAATTGATTAAAGTTAGAATATATAGATCACCGAACCTTGACTCAGTGTTGTTTTCGACATACAACCTGCATATTCTAGGTAGGTGATGTTAGGAAACGTAAAATCAATCACACTGTGAGCATTAATATCCTTAAATGTTTTTGAATAATAATATCTTTGTAAACAATTAAATCAAAGGGTTCGCTGGTGTAAAGAAATATCACAAGAAACAGGATTAAAAATCACTCGCTATCGATCTACATAAGAGAACTCAACTTAGATTCGATACTTGCTCTTTAGTATAAATAGTACTTTCATAAGGATAAAAACAATTTTTATTAGTAACGTAATTGTTCTCAGGTTATTTATAAGTAAAATGTATTGTTTTACAAATAATTAGTAGTAACGATCTTTTAAAATTACAGTCTAAGAACACTATACATAGATGGGAAAAAATTACTAAACCATATTTAACTTAAAGCAAAATTGTCTGTCTTCTCCTCTTTGAATATAAAATTATCATTCTATTTATTATTATGTGAATGCAATGATTTTCGCTGCATAATTTGTTTGACAAAGAATATACAATATGAATTAAAACTGAACAACTTACTTCTAGAAACCCAATATCACCGGGTAATAGGTTACTAATGGTATCTACAGTAGTGAAACTAAGTGATGGTGGATGTACCAGGAATTCTACGATAAAGTGGTTTCTATCGTTAATAGTACTCAAATTTGTAAATTCTGTCAGCCGAATTTGTATTACTAATGGAGGTACAATGTTCCTTTTATTAACCCATGTATTCAATAGCTCGTTCGACGGAATATGATAGAATTCTTCCCAACCTGTTGCATTGAACAACGCAAAACTATTTAAAAGCGATGACTTTGCATCTATAGACAAATCAATAAAATTGAGTAAGTGAATGGATCAGAGAAAATAATAAATAAGAAAATACAACTGAGAAGTATAACAAACGTCCACATTTAGAGTGGGTGGTTATCATTAAAAAAAAACAGAAATCATATTTTAAAAAAGTAAGCGTAAATTATGGACGGCTACTTTTTTCAGTATTGGGATTGCCCAGAAATGTGAGTGTTGTTATGTTGTAATTTACAAATCACTCATTTCTGTTAGGTGACATTTATCACTATTACAAAAATGCATTTAGTGAACAGGAGAAATAAATTAAATTAGGTTCTAAAGGATTACTGTAAACCATCACTGTAGTTAAGTCAATAGTGAGGACACAAAGTTGTCAAATATACCATAAAACAACCATGTTTTATTGCTAATTTAGTACTCTAAAAATAAATAAATGTCCAAAAAAGGTATTGCATGGTGAAATCTCAGAGTGAATGCATGTATTTTCACAAACAGCATGTAAAAAGAGGTAGGAACTTTTTACAATGTTATTGATCTATACGTCAATACACTATGCCTAGCCTTCGTAATTCATCATAAATACAGCTAACATCCTGCATATTAAGAAAACTATGCTCGTTGAAATCGTCAAATCATTGAAAATCAGATAAACACACCTCAACTTACACAACAAATCAGGATTGTAGTTAGAATTTCGTAAAAATTGATACATTAGTTTCTTTGATAAACACTTCAAAGCTAAATACAGTGTTTGTCGATGTGGATTCTCTATTAATGAATCCTCCTCTTTTGAGTAGATATTTTCCAAATAATAGTTATCGTTACGCAGGTTAACTGAAACAAAAGAAAAAATTGGACTGATAAATGAAGAATCAGCATTGCTATACTGGACGAACTCAAAAGGGTTATATCTTGTCGTAAGTACACAGTAAGGTGATTTATTTATTTATTTGAACACATAAATATTGGTACAAGGGGGGACCAAATATATATGCACCACACAAAACAATGGGAAGAGAAAAAAGAAGGTAAGGAGCGTATAAGAGAAAAGAAGAACAATAGAGACCACAGATTAGTGTAAGGTAGTGTAGTAATAATAATGGGGGAAACGGAAAGGTACAACCAGAAGAATTCTTTCAGTTAAGGAAGATACAACCACTTTTTATAAAGAAAGTAAAAGAAGGTTACAGCAGGATCGCCACTGGCTTCTATTCTAAGCCATATCTGATAATGTCTCTATCCAATGTGTTGGACCATCTTTCGGACCTCAGCCCTTTGCAGCTTTCTTTCACACCAGACACCATGTTATACACTAACCACCTCGTAAGGTGAGTGGCGCAAGTGCGGGGAGGTGAACTATTCACTTATCTAAAGTGATCCCACCACGTTTCTGCATGGACCAGTTCGACAAATTACATTGACGGAGTTTTGTTTATTATTATGTCTCCCGCTCTGGTTAGCCGGTTGATAGAGCACATAAAAGAATGCATTAACAACCAAAATCGGATCTCAGGACACAATAAATATACTACGCAAATTCTGCAGCTTGTTTTACAGATTGAATGGATTTAACTATAGTCTGGGTAAAAAGTAGACTGAACACAGCTGTTAGATTGCTATCCCAACTTCCAGTTAAAATGGAGCGAGGAACTTTACATGAATTTTTTCTACAGTTTTGTATTAAGGTACATAAGGTGAAATACAGGCTAACATTTTAAATGATATTTGAAGCTTATCTATACGTCAAACACAATCGAGACATTGCTAGCGTAAAATAGTTACTGATAATTAGAAAAACAGTCAACAAAATATAGTCCACAAAAACTGAGGACAACTTTTATGAGATTTATGTCTAATGCATATAATATTTGGAAAAGAGAGGATAATTTCAATGGGTATTTCTGATTTCTAGCCAAAAACTATAAATTTCACTGAACTAATAGAATTATTTCTCCTTAAATTAATCAAATCTATCCAAATGCAGTTACATCAAAACCCATATACGTTTATATTTGAATAATTTAACTCATCACTATGATATCAAAATAATTTGGACGAAAAATGAATCTTGAACTAGACTACCTGTTCCATCGGAACGCTCTAACAATTTATATACAACAAAATTTATTATCCCCAGATCAATGGTTGAGTCAAATTTGCGAGCAAAAAATAATGGCTGTAATCCGTAATCTGGCTTTAAACACTTCCCGGTTAATTCACATAAAAGTTCTGCATCTTTTGGTCCGTTCAATGCAAGTGGAGAACAACCACACCAATCAACCACACTGCCATATTTACAGCCACAACCTTGTGGTCTTTTCCAATTGATAAACCGTAGATAATGATTGATGACTGAGGTGCAAAAGTGAGTGTTTTGCGCAACAGTATGAAAAAAGCTCTGTAAGTAAAAAGATATAAATAGATATATTAATAAAAACCCACGGTTTTTGGTCTAAAATGAATCGGCTTGATATCGTAGTGGATGGCTGTTTAAAACAAAGCATGATTGGATAGGATGACCTTGCAGCATTTCAGATAATCGTCTGATGAAACAGCACATTGAAGCAAAACTAACAGAAAATGAATCACATAAATTTTAAGAAGACGAAGAATTAGTGGAACCAGCACGAAAAATTACCTTAGATTGTTTTGTATCACTATTAGCCTTTCTAAAATCCATTCAGCTTTATTCATTACACTTCCATCAGTAAAATGATTTAATTGCTGTGGTAAGAAACCTCCTGAATTAGTTATGGAATTAACTTTTTATGTTAGATAGTTCTCTCAAGATGTAGATTCATCTTACTAGGGAGCTGAACCTTTCCATTTGATTTTGGCATTAAGTGACGAATCGTACTTCACACTGGGACATTTCAAAGGCTTCTTTCGTCACTTTACCACCCACAATCAAGTGGAAAAGCTGAACATTTCGTCCACACCTTTAGATAAGCGCTGCAAAAATCAGAAGATAGAAACTGGTAGAAAGTTTACAAAGTTTCTTATCTGCATGCTACACTAGGCCTAATGACACGGCGCCCGAGAAATTGTCTTCAGCGGAAGCCTTCATCGGTAGAAAACTAAAAACAACTCACTATCTCATGATGCTTTCCCAGAATCCCAAGTTTACACACTAGTGTTTCTCCGTGACTACCTGCCTAACCATAACTGAACGGAAGAGTATATAGCCAGAATCCAAATAATGGTACTGTACAAAGTAGTTGTGGGTAAGGGTCGATGGACTAAACACTTTACTCACCTGTGCATAGGAAATATTTCCGGGCCGCCCGCAAACAATAAAGTACCTCTGAATATCTTTCTAGATACTTTCAGTCAGTGAAACCTTTGTATTAATTATTCTAGTGTGACTTTTCATCCATTGATAAGAATATTCATTTGTTTCAACTTTATGTGGTATTCGTTCAGTGAAACAATTTCCTTCACTAGTAGTTAGCACATGTAATGTATATATAAATGGGAGAGTTTAAATAGTTAATCTTTGGAATTATTTATTTATTTATTATTAGCTTTATTTTGTTGTGACTTTAAGACCGGCTTATTATCACGTGACTTATTAGCCAATTGAAATAAGACTTATGTAATCCTAGCACTGTCTAACTAATTACTTATCGACCAGCATGAGCAACCTAGCGTCCTCATTGGTCCTATGTTCGCCTAGCCCTGTCAGTTGAGTCCAGAATGCCAATAATAGCTCCCACTATGCGAATCATTTATTTCAGACATAATCGCTTTATATACAAGCCAAACGGACCATATCACACAATAAAATAGGAAATAATATTTGTTAAGATCAAGCCAAAAAGTGGCTATGAATTTTGGAGACTGTAATCAATAAACTGAACGGTAAATCGTATAATAATAGTCTATAAGTCAAAATGAAGCTTACAATAAGAGGAATAGCGATATACACAATCTAGTTACTGAACAGTTATACAATAGGAATATATGTAATATTAGTCTATTAATAGTTCTCAGAAGTTACCCGTAATTTAATCTTCACTAGGATATAACATATCAATATTATATTTTTGGTACAATATAAAATTCTCAGCACAAAATATTTCAACACGTTTCTGTTTCTTGGTCGATCTTGACGATAAATGTTGAGTGGTCGCCAGTTAGAAGCTAACAGTGAAGTAAATCGACATCTAAATAATGTACATTCTTTTCGCTGCATATTGCCAGCAACCACGATATCTCCGATTGGGTCTTTGTAACTTGTACAACGAAAGGTTGTACACTTTTCAGAAACGCACATAGGTTTGCCTATTGGAATAGACGGGGCTGGAGAAGAATAGAAGCTTAGGTATCCTGGTACCAATGTGTAGTTGGAATTTATCATTGTTATCACAAGTCATAAAAGAAAGTTGTCATTTTTTAAAGAAACAATGAAATAACATCGTCTAACAATTAACGCATGTTTACGAATGTTAGCGACGGTTGAAGACAAGTGGCAGGAAGTCACTGATCTAGGTTTTTTGTTAGTCGGCAGTTGTCATCAAGGGGAATCATCGATCTTGAGGGAACCACCTAATATCAAGCCAAGTGAATCGCTATGCTAAGTCACTTAGAATGAGAACAATACTGAGACCCAGTCGATAGAATTAGACAAGAATTAGATGACATTACATCAGTTACGACAAGTGATCAGGATAATATGGAGGGTGGAAAGATGTATGAGGGGACATCGGAACAAAGACAGAATAAGAAAATATTCAAAGTTATACAAGACCACTTTATTTATTTGCTGTACGTAAAAACTGGAACAAATAGCCACCAAAAATGGTATGTGCTATACAAATAGCATTCAGGTTAGTTAGAACATTACTGAAATCTGAATTTACCAAAAACATTAATCTAATTAATAAACATCGTTCATAAGAATTAAAATGATGCTCAACAAAATGCTGGATGCCTAATTTTGTTTTGCTATTTGAGCTAGTAGTGAAATCTCACTGCGTCGCAAATGAACTTTATGTTTGTTGTGATGATGAAACTGCAGAAAGGAAATCAATTCACCCGGAGACAAAAAGAATATTTGAATTTATGAATCGATTTAAGCTAGACCACCGTTGAAAACCTGGAAACACTGGACAGCCGCTTCGTCCTAGTACGGTCATCCAGTGTTTCCAGGTTTTCAATAATGGTCTATCTTAAATCGACTCACGAATCCAACTACCAAAAAATTACTACAATCCCCACAAACCCCCATTCTAATAAAAAGAATAAACAAGTGCACGTACATACTGATAATCGATTCGCATTTATTGTATGATTCGTTTGTTACAATCAACATTGAGCATGATACAAATGTATGTTAGACCAAGCTGCTACACCAAATCAGCAAAACGAGGTAAAATAGACAAGATGGATAATAATTGAGTATTACTAATATTTGACGAGGATAAATATTAAAAATATATCAGAAGGGGTTTTGTGGAGATTGTAGTAATTTCAATAGTTGATATCATGAGTTAATTGAAGCTAGACCACCATGGAAAACCTGGAAGCACTGGATAGCCGTTTCGTCCTATTATGGGACCCCTCAGCAGTGCGCATCCACGACCCCGCCTCGCGGGATTCGGACCCAGGACCTATCAGTCTCGCATCAGGCGCTTAACCAACTAGACCACTGAGCCGGCACCCAACGGTGTTAATGTCTAACTTCAACTAGTCCACGGAATTGAGCGACACATCTACCATTGTCATCAGTGAGTTACTACCTCACAACTGACCCGGTTGAACTCCACTGGTCACTGCTTCTCACTAGAACTCCAGGATATATCTCTTGAAGCCAGTCTAGCAATCAGTGGTTTTATGGATTGATGACACGTTTTAGTTTAGCTGCCCCTGGCATTTTCCCAACCCACTTCTACTCCCTCCAGTAGTGGAAACGGGGGTAAGTGGTGGTTAGGTATACGTCTCGGTCACTCCAATCTATGAAGATTCACAATTTAGGACTAAAAATATTTGTTATCCGACCTCCCAAACGAAAATGAACGTTTCGGAATCTAAACGCTCGACCTACTGGTTTACAATTGAATCATCAACACCATTTGGGGGACATGTTAACATTACGAAAAATACTAAGTATAAAACTTACACTATCTTTGTATAAAATATACTTACCTCAACTGGTAGCAAACTATAGCGGAAGTATTCCTTGATATCGCGTAATAAATTAGCATCACTGTAAATAACATAGTCCACAAATATTTTAGGCAGTATCATCCAGTCAGAACCACCGTCTAAAATAATTCCAGATGGGACCGATCGTTCACCTAGGTGCCATACATATGAGTCACATTCGAGGAATAACTGACCAAAACCTTGATTTCTTAAGAAACTAGAATGATAACAGATGAAAATTAGGAAAGCCTTTACGGCATTAACTGGGCCAAATACGAATTTTATGCTGAAACTGTCAAACAGTGTTTTATAACATGTAACACCGATTAAATTGTTGCTTAAAACGGAATTTCTAAGGAACGAATAGTATCAGTGGGAGATAATCCTTTACTGTAAGTTGATAGAATATGTTTAATAGAACTGTATGCAAACGTAAGCTGTTGCTTGTCAAATAGTTTTATTTTAAATGTAAACAAGCAAATTAGAAACAAAAGGTTAACCTGTCAATCAAAAAACGAACATTTGTGTCCGCCGTAAGACCAGTTTTATTTTAGTTATCAGAAATTTAATCTCACTCAAACGGATGAAATACTAGAACGTTTCAACAACTGATTTCAAATATTCATAATTAGTGGGGACCGTTGTTTGCTGAATGGTGTAACTTTATGACCAAGTCACACAAATGGAAAATAACCAACGCTATAATGTGTAGCGCTATGTGAAGACAAAACAGGAACTTAATTCATTTAAGATACAGACCACAAACATCCTAATACTGAAATGAATCGATTCTATTGATATGTGCAAAGTTAAGGAAAACTGTACCAGTTATTGTATCAACTTTGTTGTCTTAACCCTTAATTTATGAATGCTTATAAGTACTTTGCCATTCCTAAGGGTTTCTATGGTTAAAATTACTATATTTCTCCTATATGAGCACTTCAGAATGGTGAAGGTATATTTCGAACAAGAAATGCTTGTAGCACCGTTTTGAGATTCAAGTAATGACAGATATCCATTGACTAGTGATAATAATCTGATTATAGAAGAGTGAAGTGATAATGCTTAGTGCTTAATGGTTGAAGATAGTTTGTAGGAGAACTAGTATAAAGTCTACAACGAACTTCTATAATTGTTAATACGCTTATATGATGTTCTCATCAACAACTGAAAAGCACTAGTCATTAATAAACTATACAAGTAACAATGCTGTATTCCCCATCCATGAAAGGTGATTTTGAAGTCTTAATCACATGAGATATTGCACATCGAAACGGTCATTAGATTATTCTAAATTTACAAGTGTATCAGATGATAAATTACCTTTGCCCAGTATGACTGAATGAGCGTAGAAAAATTTTATCCCGATTGTGACTCAAATAGGTAACCAGTTCATGATTAGGTCTGTGTATTTAAAAAAACAATAAGATTAAAAAAAGCAAATTATTCAGATATCCACTGAATGATCGGTTTCACCATTACGAAAATAATCGTAAAATATATCCACATAAAGTGTAATCTGCTAGAATTATAACACAAAGAAGGATGGTGGGGAGTATAATAAAACAACAATAAACAAACTGCTGATTCTAGTGTTCTTCATACCTAGTACTGTTTTAAGATAATCAAAATAAAGGGAAGTTGTTTCAATCAACAAATTGGAGTGATAACATAATAATGCTGAGATCTCTCTACTGTATCCAAATATATAGTATTAAATAAAATGATTATTACCAGTATACTAATTTTATCAGTTACATAAGTACTAACTCATGAGTATTTTAACAATGAAACAAAAAATATCACCTGATAGGCAAATCGCTTTCACTCAAGTTGATCACAAAGTCCCATTCCCAATCACTCATATTAAAGGATAAATCTTTTAATGATGACAAGAACATATCAAGTAGACTTTGTCCACCCCATATTGGCGAAAACCGAGTAGATGTTAGGTAGACATTTGACGGGTAGTTTCCAATAAAAGATTTAACCATTGTGTACAGATAACCACATCGCTAAAATAGAGAATGGTTTTATATAGTAATGTGAAACGAATATTCAAAGTACATTTTAAATGAAGGTTATAAATAATTAATGTCAAAAACTTAAGAGGTATAGATAAATATCAGAAGGGGTTTTCGTGGATATTATAGTAATTTCAATAGTTGATATCATAAGTCAATTGAAGCTGGACCACCGTCCAGTGCTTCCAGGTTTTCCATCGTGGTCTAGCTTCAATTAACTCATGATTTCAACTATTGACATATAGATAACTCCCAATAAGGTGTAATAAGGAATATAATTTACCTTCAAAGCACACATTGAAGAACAGTTTAACGGCACTCCAGCTACTTTTCATTTGCCTACTTTTACCATGAAACCTGAATGGGATGTCAACATAAGCTTTACAACTCTTAATGAAGTAGAAAAAGCAATAGTTAATCTAAAATGACAAAGAGCAGCATGCTCTGATCGATTGACCTCGGAGATCTTTAAAGATGGTAGTTCAGTTTCAGCTGTTTGATTGACCGAGATCTTACTTGGAGTCTGGGAACTGAATGGTTTTAATTACTGATCACTCCAGTTCATAAGAAAGAATAAAACTACTTTTGTGATGACCGTATAGGGATAGGTTTGACTAATACAGTGTTTAGAATATTAGCGTTAATAATAATCAAACACTTGACTAGGGTTCGTGAGGAGAAAACCAGGCTGGTTCTAGGACTAGACGTGGATTTACCCACTGAATATTTGCCCTTTGCCAGATTTTGGACACAGACATATCTACCGACCTTAAATCATAGTCGCATCTCTTGACCTTAAGGCAACCCTTGATGTTGTGGACCGATAAACTTTATAGCAGTCCTTAAACGAAAGGTGTAACGAATAAGTACATTAACCTTGTACAGACTCTCCATTGGACAGTTACTAGTTGAGACAGAGCTTATGATGAACTGTCATCGGAATAGATAATTTTATGTAGTGCTCATCGGAGCTGTCCGCTTTCCTATTTTTATTTATCTTTGCCCCAAGCATTCTTTCAGAGACAACACATTCATTACCTGACTTTTTGGGAATCAAACAACCAGATTCTTTTGTTGACTTATAGTTTGCAGGTGACGGTGAAATATGGGCAAGATATCCATTTGGCAACTAAAAGACGAATGTACCGAGCAGCTATTGGCTCTGTTCTACTTTATTTCTGTAAAATTTGGCCGCTAATATTTGAGGATATTCGTAGGTCACTAGTATTCGATCATAGGTGTGTTCGAAGAATCGCTCGTGTTTCGGGACCATCTAGTTAGCGCTTCTGAGGACGGACGCATAGTGCTAGGTAAGTGTGGCACATAGATTTATGAGGTAGTGAACCTTTACCCAATGAGATGGTTAGGTCATGTATTACGCAAGCCCACCCACCGACCACGTCGACGCGCCATGATGGCTGGTGTGTAGTAGGTTGGAAAAAAGCTGAAAATTTTCAAAGACGTGGCGTCACTCCACGAAGAGTAATGTAGATAGATTCAGACTACTTGTCTAACGTCCGCGTGATTATTGACGCCAATGGTTGTAGACCTTGGATGACATTACTCAAAATCGCCCGCAATGGCGCAGGTGCATTTACTTTTATTTTTTCCTTAGATTCTAAATTCTTCAAACAACTTTTGTCGTCACTAATTCATATTTTCCTTTTTGAATCATATCTTCTATGTCCAATATTTTGACTAACATCACTGTTACTACCTCTACTATTGTGGGATTAGCTCTGACAGTCTCATCTCGCTGTTCTAATCGGGTATGCCAACCTGAACCGATGTACAAATGTGCAAGATTATACATTGCGTGTAACTGACTGACTTTAGAGCATGCACTTAGAAAACTACTCTGAAATCGGTATAAAAACCCTATGATAAATACAACAAGCAGTAACAGCCAAAACTTTAGTATCCTTAATTATGATTTCGCTTTGTCTTTAAGCGTATATATTTAGTTCACTTCTATTCAGTGAGACAAATATTTACGATTCATTTTAAAGAAGTACATGTCACTGACAAGTGGACTGAGTCATGTTGGTAGGTGTAGACTACCTGGTTGGGGACCGCGAGATGATAGCAACCGATGGTTAGAGACCCTGAATGACACGGCTCAAAATCGTTTGCAATGGCGCAGGTGCATCCACTCTCTGTGCTCTCCCAAATTCTAATCTTCTGAATTCTTCATGTCTCTTTTTTCCTCTTTCCAAATTTATTTCACTGGATTATACTCTTTAAATAACATCTCCAAACCCTAATCTTCCCGATTATTGCTTATACTCTTATTACCTCTACCACTACGGGATTTGAATCGACAACTGCATCTCTGTGCTAATGTGGTGTGGCAACTCAAACTGATGTACGTACGTACGAAGTTCTACGTTGTTACTGACTGACTGAGTGCATGTCAGCTTGATACGATACCCTAGTATTAGATCTTGATTGGAGAATGAGAGACCTACAAGCTAATTTACTTCAATTACCTATGAAATTTTGGTGTTTTTACTTTGTGTCAATATTCTGTATATAAGCATGCTATCTCATTATATATACCTGGTAAGTGGTCATGTTTTGATTTCAAATCACTTGAGCGCTTGAGAAGGAACACCAATACAGAACAAGCACAAGTTAATATTACAAACCCATAAAGACGGAAAAAATGCCTTTCAAACAGTAATTACTAACCGCATCCACATGAATGTAATAATAATGTCGAGTGTTGTATATTAGCTCGAACATTCGACGGATATGGGGCCAACTCCTTCCATTCCAGACAAGTAGATAGACTATCCTTACTGGTTTCGAAGATACTAGGTCGATAAGACCAGACTTAAGAGAAACTGAAAATAGAGATATTAAATGGCACTACAATACTCGATAGCATTCTTAAGAACTTAAATTACAATGCAATGTCGAAGTACAGTAATGGAAATTAATATCACAAATCCCGCTTGGTGAATGGTGGGCCTTAAATTGGCGAACGAAGAAAAATGAAATTCTGTTTAAATCTGCGTTCATGGTACCTAACTTGGCTAAACTCCACCTTTAGCCCTTCTAGGGTTACTGTCGGTCTCAATCCCATGGACACTGGTTTCTACCTCTTAAATTAAGCAGACGTGATGAGTGATGAGACCAATTATGACTAAAATATTATCATGATAGGTAATGTTGGTCAAATCTAGATTAATTTGATGAAACTCATCAGCCAAGATCAAGTACACGAACCTTTCGGTCATATGTTTTTGTAAGCTAATGACGCTACCAGAATGCCTAAACTAAAGCAGATGGAGCGATGTTCGAATACGTAATCCGATGCGTGAAAGTCCAGTAATGATGAACACTGGAATATGTGAGGCAAAAACCCGGGAAAAACCTTAAAATTATTTTGAAACTAAGAAATAAGTTTATCTGTGTTCGAAAGGAAAACTAAAAAATTCATTGGTTTTTGTTCGTGTCATTATTTTTACAACTAATTTCTTTAAATATACAATGTCAATACATATTTTTCGATCCATCCTAATCTCACTGTCTGGAAATTGAGTGACTGAATAATGAAGATAACAAAATAAACTTGTGTAAAAGAGCATATATCATACAGAAAATTATTTATCAAATACACACAAATACGCCATACCAGAAAATAACAAAATTACTAGAACTTACGAGGAACAGGATGCCAAGGAGGACTTGCCTTTGTCGCATAAACCCGGACCGGGACTGGGTCAGGACAAAGCGGATGATTATTAGGACCGAAACCGTGTCCTTCAAGAGTGCAATTGATGCTGCATTGAGAAAGAGGGATGCTTCTTGATTCATTCGGTAGCTGCATCATACACCAGCACGTATGACTAGGACCTAACCATGAATACGCTATGCCCAGAGAACGACAGATGCTCAGACAATCATTATCATCTTTGTATTCACTCGACTTAACGAAGTTAAGTTCACTGTGACGGATGAGGAAGCAGCCGACGAAAGACGGTTGTTCGCTAAGGTTACCTGAATATTAAGAAAAAAATATTGCGAAACACAAAAGTCTAAACGGCATCTAAGCTGATATTTGGTGGAGGGGGAGTAAAACGGTATATATAGCATAGAAGACATATCTTGAAAAAGTTAATATTAGAAGTCAATATCACAAGGGTACTGCGCTTGCTGATAATTGTTAAACACTAAAATAAGCCCAGTGGCAGTACCCTGGCCCTCACACAAATCGAATGATCTATGTGCCTTCTTGCACTTATCCTTTTGTGTTTAAATAAATAAATATGTCTATCTCTACCTCCATGAAATTGAATCACTTGCCTTCGTAAAATGAGTGATTAAGCGGACGAATCTTAAACTGCAGAAAACCTTTGTGAATTACTTAAGACAATGTTATATTTTACTATTGGCTGGACACTTAACCAACAATTAGATACCAAGTAATAGGGAGCTAAGTAAAGAAAAAAGTTAAAGAGAAAACGAATGTTTAATATGATTAAGCTTTACCTTGAACATGGCAAAAGCTGCTAGAAAAGCCTTCGTATGTAACAGGAGAACAACCTACACCAATAAATATTTGTTTGCAGCTTTCTGAACTTGTGCGGTTGTAAGCACTCCAAACGTATTTATTACTGCGAAGACACTTTGTTATTTTATCTAGGCTACCATTTTTGTTTGTACGACTTGAAATTTCGACGGTCTTAAGAGAAAACGATTAAGAATATACAAGTGTAACTTACAGACAAGAATGAACTTTTGAAAACATATACATACAGCTGAATATAAAGCTGTATAACCACGAAAATACAAGTAAATACGTAACAAACAACCATACGTTGTCTGGATACAGCTGATATCATTATAAGTTAGGTAAGATGCCATCTTAAATGTGTAGTAACGGATACATTTCAAAATACCGCGGTGAGCTACAAATGGATCAAATGGTTTTTGATGAAATAGAAAAAGCTTGCGCTTAACGGGCCTTCGTATCTAGTGGCAGTGGATCACTAATACCTGCAGGTAGGAATTCAGGTATATTATCGATGAATGAGGAAGAATAAATTGGCAAATCATAGTAAGCTGCTGTCTTCAGTCTTTAAAAATCAGTTTCAGTTTCAGTTTGGAAAGGACAGGAAGCTTGATGGACTGTGTTAGTCCTGGCAATGATGGTCTCTTAGTTGATTTAACTTCCTTTTGAAAGACTCAATGGATGGGTCTTCAACCACATGCTGAATTAATGAATACTACGCGTTTATGATTCGATGGGAAAGTCGATAGTCAACTGACAGGTAATTTTTCTCTGGCTTGTTAACATTTTTGGAGCGTCCTCGTAGATTCTCTGTTTCCTAAGACAATAAAAATGAGGGCATGTCGGGTGCAAACTTATCACCAAGCAATTCGAAAACTGTAATCAAGTCGCCTCTAGTTCTTCAATATGACAATGAATAGGTTTAGCTTGGCCAGTCTAGCATCATACAAGAGCTTCTCTATTCCGGGAATCACCTTAGTTGCAGTTCTCTGAACATTTTCCAAAAGTTTGTTGTTTTTTAAGCAGGGGCTAGGCGCTTGTATGCAGTACTCAAGTTTGGGACGTACGAACAATGTATACAAAGTCAAAAAGGTTTTAGCGTTGACACGACTAAAAGCCCTACGTACTGGCCATAAAGTCTTAAAACTTTTGGCGGCTATTGCACGGCAGTATGCAGTAGTGTTTAAGTCTTGGCTAACGATGACTCCTTAGTCATTGTGTGTCTGGACAACAGGTAGCTCAGTGTTATTGTGTATGACCGATATGCATCGCAATACACTTGGAAATATTTATTGGCAACTGCCAGGTTTGAGACCATTCAGATAATTTCTCCGGGTTATTTTGGAGCTCTAAACTATCATGTTTACCTTTTGTCACTCTCTTTGTCTTTACATCGTCAGCACGTAGCAAGACCGATGATGATATTAGGTGAGGAAGGTCATTTACATACAAGAGGCACTCCACTAAGCACAGTTCCCAGGTAGATAAGTTTGAGTTCACCCGTGCTCTTTGTTGGCGCCCAACCAGGAAGTCTTTTACCTACATCAATAGATCGCCTCCGATTCCGACATTTCTTAGCTTAAACAACAGCCGGTTGTGAGAAACTTTGTCAAAAGCTTTGCTGAAGTCAATGTAGGCTACATCTACAAGTAACTTTTGGTCCTTAAGAGCTCACTAGCGTTCACGAGAGACTAATAAGTTAGTGAGACAAGAATAACCTATTCTAAAACTATGCTGCTTTTCCGAAGAGATCCGGTTTTCATCGAGGTATTCAAAAACAGCTCCTTCTGAATAATCTTTTCTAAGATTTTAACAGTCACACTAGTTAGGCTAACGGGTCGGTAATTCTCAGGTTTATGTTTCGTACCTGTTTTAAAGGCAGGACTTACTATGGCGTTCTTCCAGTTTTTTGATAAACGACCTTGGGTTACGGATAGATCAAAGCATATACTTAAATGGTTCGCAACGAAGTTAGATAATTCCTTCAGTAGCCTAGCATGCAACTCATCGGGCCCAGTGGATTTACCTATGTCAAGCTTATTCAGCATATCAAAACACATCGAGATCTTTAACGGTCACGCTGTCCAGTGTTTGTGTGGGGGAATTTGTATGGACTGACGGAAAGGGTGTTTCTATGGTATATAGATTGCTAAAGTAGTTTGAGAATACTTGGAAAACTCTAGTTTTGGCTTGATGGAGAGAGATTGCATAACGGAATAAGCTCTTCGAATTATAGACGAATTTATCCATAAGCTTTATCTGTTACTGAAGCCTGTCTTCCTTTATAGCCTTCGTGGATATGTTCCAAATATGTTTGTATTACCTATACGCCCCTTTGCATTCTGCCTAACAATGCCTTTTGAAGCTTAGTAGGCGAAGAGTGAGGTTTTTGATTATTTTAGGTTGCTTGTAGCTTTTGGGGACCGTTTGAGGAACTGACTGCTTTGTAGCACATAAGAGCGTGTGCAGTAAGATGTCCCAATGAGTATCCACATCAAGTTGAGGGTAGATAGTCCTATAGAGCTGACACATTCAACCATTTGAAATTCCAGCGCCTGTTGTCAGCGAGATATCTTAGCTCAGTTTTACTGACAAAACTGAAGGCTATAACGACGTGATCGCTTTTTTCCAGAGGAGCCAGGATTGAGAGGTTTTAAACTATAAATTCTTCGTTTGTAAATACCCAGTCTAAGCGTGACGGTATCTGACTGTCTCTCCAACAAGTTGCGGACTTCACATTTTCTTATAATCCCAGATCCTCAATAAGACTGAAGAACCAGGCTTCAGTAGAGTTTCCACCTTTAATATGGGTATGTTCCGTAAAATTGGCTCTAGGAAGATTAAAGTATCCTAGAATTAAGATATGTATGTATCCGAGATGAGCAGAGTAGGACAATCCCTCCAGCATACGATTGTCGTGCTCGATGTCAGCGATGGGTCTCCTGTAGATGACTCCGATTAGACAGTCTTATTGAGCAACATATGGATTTGTCAAGTTTGATAAATTTTTGGTTATGCACTTGATTTAACTCTAGACAAGATAGCAAGTAAAAGGCTACTCCATCCTCCATTTTTGTTTTTCTGTCATTGAGAAATAAAAACATGACATGTATTGCTAGCTCCTTGCCCATAATTTGAGAAGATATCCATGTTTCAGATATTTCTATCAGATAAGCTCTATTAGTATTACTGAGTTCACGCAGCTCATCTATTTTATTCGGTAAACTCGTGGCGTTCATGTATGAACAGTTCATGCTTTTGATTTGAAATGCGGATTTTACGGGACGTTCCAAGCATTTGCGCACATCGGTATTTCTGAACAAAAGAAGATAGCTTGTACAGTTAACCGTCACCTTCCTGAATACATGGAACTATTAGAGTATTATGTCGTCATGTCTATTCATAGTCAGTACTACGGAAATTTTATTCGCTGTCCAATCCAACAGAAACAGTCTTAAATATAATCGTTCACTCGATGATAACTGTAGTTTCGAAAGATTTTACAGAAATATATCCTTCTGTGCAAGGGTCAGTCAGTCAGTCAGTAACAACGTAGAACTTCGTACGTACGTACGTCAGTTCGAGTTGCCACACCACATTAGCACAGAGATGCAGTTGTCGATTCAAATCCCGTAGTGGTAGAGGTAATAAGAGTATAAGCAATAATCGGGAAGATTAGGGTTTGGAGATGTTATTTAAAGAGTATAATCCAGTGAAATAAATTTGGAAAGAGTAAAAAGAGAGGGACAACTGTGTTACTTACTCGATGGTCCCATGATATACGAGCAATGTTTCGAAGACACCTATGATCGAATACTAGTAACCTACGAATATCCTCTACTCTAACCGGCCACGTTTCACTGCCATAAAGTAGGACGACACGAACTGCTGCGCAGTAAACACGTCCTTTGGTTGATAGACGGATATCTCGCCTACGCCATAAATGACGCAAGTTGGTAAAAGCTAGTCGAGTCTTCTTTATCCGTGCTGAGATTTCGTCACACACCAGACCACAAGGGCTGATGAGACTTCCAGGATAAGTGGATCGATCGACACGCTCAATTACGTCACTCCCAATCATTAGTTTAGCTGTCGATGTAACCCAATCCTGAAACAACATTTTGCATTTCGAGGGGGAGAATCGCATCCTGAACATGCTTGCATTGTTGCTTAGAGTGATCAGAAGACTGCATTTTGTCAGCGTTTTCACCAAATAAAACTATGTCATCTGCATATTCTAAATCAACAAGTGAACCTCCTGGTAGAAGTTCAGCCCCTGTAAAGTCAGATGAGGAAAGTGTTATCTCTAAAAGTACGTCAATGACAAGGTTGAACAAGAATGGAGAGAGTGGACAGCCCTGACCAACACCACTTGAGGTAATCAATTCTGATGACAGTTTGCCATAAGCTCTCACTCTACCAGTTGTGTTCGAGTAGAGAGCCTGTATAAGGTTAATGTAATTCTTTGGTACTCCTTTCGTGACAAACATTGCCAGAGAACCTCAACAAAGTCAAATGTCGCCTTAATGTCGAGAAATACTATTATTGTGGGGCGTCTGAATGTGTGTCTGTGTTCCAGAACCTGACGTAGTGTGAATATGTGGTCTATACAACCACGTCCAGGTCAAAAACCAGCCTGGTTTTCTCTAGTCTGCTCTTCACGAGCTTTAGTTAGGCGTCGAAGTATTATTGAAGCTAATATTTTAGACACTATATTTTTCAAACTGATTCCTCTGTGATTGTCACAAGAGGACTTCTGTCTTGTCTTAATAACTGGCATAGTCAGTGATTGAGACCAGTCAGATGGGATTACGTCCATTTCCCAAATTCTACCTAAGACCTCAGTTAATTTCACTGTTAATACTGAACCACCATCTTTAAAAACTTCAGGAGTAAACCTGACAGGGCCTGTTGCTCTTCCTCGCTTCAGATTTCCTATGGTTTTTTCAACTATGAAAGAAACGGAGGACCTACATCAACTTGCCATTCAGGTTGACTGGAGATCGTGGGAAACCGAAGTGTGGCTGAAGGCCAGTTGAACTGGTCTCTAAAGTGTTCTGCCCATCGATCCAATCTCTTGGATTGAGAATGTATAATATGTCCATCTTTCTCTGACACTGTTTCTCTAACAGTCGGTTTCCTTAACAAGTCTGAACAATTGTCTGCTATTACCTATTGCCGCTGCCTTTTCCATCTCTCTTGCTTTCGCTACCCACCACTGTTCACGATCATTGCGTATACTTCTTGTCAGCTTGCGCTTAAGCTGACTCCGCTCTTCGCTATGTTCAGAGCCAGGTGGAATGAGTTTCCGAGCATCTATCAGTGCGATAGATGCTGCTGAGATCCAGTGTTGCTCCCTAACCTTACGGGTTACCGTACTAGCAGATATCACTGCTGTTTCCACAGCTTTTCGG